TCCTTCTTGAGTCAGCTTTGGCAATTTGCGGGTTTCTAGGTATTTTTCTAATTTATTGGAATAAAATTGTACATAGTATTCTCTTTTCATCTTTTTAGACCTTAATTCTGTAGGGTCAGTAGTAATGTCCTCACTTTACTTCTGATTTTAGTCATGTCTTCTTTCTTTTTTTCTTAGTTTAGCTAAAGGTTTGCTAATTTTGTTGATCTTTTCAAAGAACTTACTTTTGGTTTTGTTGATTATCTCGGTTGTTTTTCTAGTCTCTGTTTCATTTATCTCCATAGTAATCTTTATTATTTTGTTCCTTCTATTGGCATAGGGTTTAATTTGTTCTTCTTTTCCAGTTCTTTGAGACCTACCTTTTGTAATGAGACTTCACTGTCCCTTCATCAAGAGTTGGGCTCTATTTCCTCTTATCCTGAACGTGGGTGGCCCCATGACCCATTTTGACCAAGAAAATGTGGTGAAAGTTATGCTGGGTACCTTCCAAGGCAAGGCCTTAAGCTATCTGCAGCCTGCACCTCCTTCTTGAAATCTAGCCTCCATGCTGTGAGGAAGTCCGAGTAGCCTTATGGAGAAGCCCATGTGGAGAACTAATGAACCCACTGAGCTTTCAATAGCCAACTAGCACCCACATGACAATGAGGTCATTTTGGACCTTCCAGCCATCCCAGAGCCTAGCAGATGCCATGTGAAGCAGTACTGCTTGATTAAACCACAGAATTGTGAGAAATGATAAATGGTTATTTTTAGCTACAAAGCTTAGGGATGGCTTGTTACACAGCCATGGATAACTGAAATGGTAATCCCAGTCCTTTTCCTCCTATCACTCACCAGGGTCCCCTGAGCCATAAGGTTCAGGGAAAGGGATTGGGAGGGGAGATGGCTTCAAGTACTCCATGTGAGTTCTTACATGTACTCAAGGCTATTGAGCACTTCTGAATGTAAGAAACACTTTTGGATTGTCTGTGGAATTCATTGTGTCTGAGAACAGCAAAGGCAGCAGAACTAGGCAGTCTGGAGTTCAAAAGCCGTGTCTGCTGTTTGGTGATGACCTTCAGCAAAACACTTCCACTCTCTGAACCCCGGTGTGTTCAAGAGGAAATGTGGATATTTAGCTGGGCTCTTCTAAGGATTTAATGGAATAACAGATTCAATGCGCCAAGCATACTGGTCCCTCAAAGAATGTTCAATGCTGCTATTGCTGGTGTTTCTCCACCTCCTTCTTTACCCTGCCTACAACATAACAGGAGTGCCACAAGGCAGAGGAAAGTGGGTAAGTTAAATTTTCAGATGATTTCATCTTATTTACTCGTTCTAAACCTAGGAAACTGAAGGAGGGACAAAGTGCTTCAATAACCTGGGGAAAATTTTTGTGAGACTTTTAGAAATATAGGAGACCTGTTGGAACATCATGGAATCAGCTAGATGAATCATGAAATATAAATTTATGATCCTAGTTTCTTATCTTGAAAGTGAGGAAACTACAAATTATTTTTCAAGATTAAAAAAAAATCAAAGATTAACTGCACTGGAATTAAAATAAAATGTTTTTAAAAATCAAAGAAAAAAAGTCTGTAAACTGTGACATGGAGGATTACATTATATAACCTCCTGCCCTCAAGACCACCTGACAAACACCCCATATGTATGTATATATGTATGCATGTATACATGTGTGCCTTGTGTACACATGTGCATATGCACAATGTATACGTGTGTGGATCTTTATGTGTCTTTGTGCATGTGTGCATTATGGATGTATATTTTACACTGCCCTGGGCCCAAAGTTCTGGTTAGTCATAGAAGTTCAAGAGCGAGAAAAGTTAGCCCTGCCCTATCTCTGCCATGCACTCAGTATACAACCTTTACAGCAGATGTCTTTGGGGTGCCAGCACAACTCACACAGTGTACTATTTGTTCCCATCTCTCATCCCCACACGCAGCCAAGTTTCTATTATGTGAGGCCGCTGCCCAACACAACAGCTAATTCAGCTAAATTGGACAACTGACCCACAGTGGACCAATTAGAGTCTTTCTTCCAGAAACCTGGATTAGGGGTTGAAGAGAGCCGGCTGGTTTCTTTATATGACTGGAATTAGAATGTGAATGTAGGCATTCTCTGAGCAGCAGAGACCCAGGGCAAAGAACACCAAGCAGATACCAAGAAGTGAAGCAAAGAGAGAATTCCTGAGTTCTCCATGGCTTTCTACAGCCTTATTTCCAGGCCAGTGAGTCCATGAAATACCCCCGAATCCTTATAATAAATTCTATTTATTTGTCTGTTTGTTTGAAGTAACTGAGATTGGTTGCAGCTTCTAACCAAAAATTCCTTACAAGTCACTTACCTTCATTATGTTTCCATTTCTTCACTTACAAAATAAGGAAATTTGACCAGACACCTTCCTAGCTCTATTTTACATTAATAGCACCTTCCTGGAGCCTGCCTCCAGGATGAGGATGGGGTTTTGCTTCCCTTGGCAGAGGTGGGAAAAGACTACTGCAATATTTTACTGTGTAAATCAGCTCCCTGGAAGTTACACAAAGGTAAAAGCTCACTTCCTTCAGAGCATGCCAGCTAGATATACTAGATATAGTCTATATAATAGATAAAGGCTATGTTCACTAAGAGAAATAAAAATGTCTGAGCAGACAGGAGTCTTTGCAAACAGAATCTGGATAGAATATTCCTTCACAGAGGAGAATTTGGGGTATGACTCCATAAACATAAAAACTTTCTCATCTCTATATCCATTATATACTTTAAATTATGAAGTCCTATAAATTATATATTACACATTGAATTATATACTTATATTGTTAAGTATGATTTTATGATCATAAATCTTGCCTTTCTAATTAAATTAAATATTCTTCCAGAGTAGAGGTCAAAATGTATATTTCATGTTGTGAATCCCTATTGTGCCTAGCCCCATTTTTGTTATGTGGTGGTTATTCTTGAAAAACATGCAGTTAAGTTGCACTCACCAGCCAAATAAACCATTGCTTAAAGACGGTCTTACCTCATCGAGGTAATGCCAACAAATATTCATTGAGTTCATGCTTAGTATCAGAAAAAGTACACCCACTCACCCCACCCCAAGCACCCACAGCTTAGCTCTGCAAGCAAGGAACAAGGAAATGGAGGCCAGCTGTTCTTCCATTCCTACTGACAGAGGTTTATCAAATGTGTCCCAGAAGAATAGTTTGCACCCAGTAGATGCTGTGTTAATCCAGGTCACTGGAGAAACAGATGTGATTAAATGTGCAAGCATATATTAGGGGAAATGCCTGTGTGAGAGAGAATAGGAAAGAAGCTGAAAAGGGTTGGGAGAGCCATTAGACCATGATGCCAGTCTGACTCTGAGTGAAGGAGAGCAGGAGGAAAGGCAGGAGGAAAAGTCTGCTGGATTGCCATGCAGTATGAGGAAGGTTGGACAAAGCCAGAGGAGTCCCATAGCTCCCAGGAACAGACCTGCCTTGATATTGTGCCCAGCTCAGTTACTGACTGAGAGCAGCCCACGGGAGGCATGGTCTTGGTGCAAATGACAATGAATTTCAATGTCAAGCAGCTGAGTTCCCTGATCACCCCCGCCCTACAACTGCCATCACTGGCAATCTGCAACGCATGACCCCCACAGATGCTCATATTTTTGCTTCATTGAATTGATGATTTTACCTGAAAGAGCCACATCCCTCTTCTTTTCTTATCATGTCCATTCTCACCATGATAGAAGAGGCTACAGATCTCAGGAGGAAAGCAGCCCTAGCCATTCAATTTTATAGTCTGGAAATCCCCATTAAAAAGTCCATTAGGAAGTCTCCAGGATCCATGCTTTCTTCAATCTCAGAAAGTTCAGATCACCTGACAAATATTCATTTCCATGCTATAGTCCAAGATTTGTTTTCCAAAAAATACAGGGTATAATAGAAGTATATGTATGTGTGAGAGAGACAGACAACTGGCCTATTGAGAATTTGCTCTAGCTAAGCTTTGAATGTGACTATTTCAGTATTTATTCTTTTGATTAAGGTGAAAAGGCAGAGATAATGCAGCCAAATTCACTTAATATCAAGTCATTAATATAAAATCTATTTCATGGATTTTTTTCCTTCAGACTCCAAGCAATTTGGCGAAATTGCAAGGCAACTAGCCAAACACTCACTGACATCAAAACACCCTCAAGATTAGCACTAAGTAAAAAAACATTGCTTACTGGGACTAAAAATTACTTGCTATCAACCAAAGCAAACAAAATTTACTATTTTAATAGATTAAAACTTGACATTTTGTTCTTCTCTTGGTGTGTTGGTTACACACAACAGAACTGTTTGAGTAGACCAGAATAACAATATCATTTCTGCAGAATTAAAGGGCTAAGAACTTGCCCCTGCTTCCATGATGTCATTTTCTTCTACTTTTATTTTTAGAAAAACTCTGTTTACATTACACCGGAAGAAGGACTCTAATTATATTAAAATGACGTTTTTCTAGTAGTTCATAGTAGATTAAGCCAGACTTGCAAATGGCTTAGAAATAACAAGTTTTTTGTTTTTTTTTTTTAAAGATTTTATTTATTTATTTGACAGAGAGATAGCGATAGCAAGAGCAGGAACACAAGCAGGGGGACTGGGAGAGGGAGAAGCAGGCTTCCCGCTGAGCAGGGAGCCTGATGCGGGGCTTGATCCCAGGACCCTGGGATCATGACCAGAGCTGAAGGCAGATGCTTAACAACTGAGCCACCCAGGCGCCCCTTAGAAATAACAAGTTTAATAATATTTGCAAAAGACCTATCTTTGACTGGAAAACTAGACCCATTTTGTGTTCATATCTTATGTTCCTACATAGCCGTGGCAAGAAAAAGAAATTTTGTTCAAGAAAAAGCCATTTGCTATTTTCCTTAGACATGCATGCTCAAGTCTAATGTGGTCCAACTCAAAGGACTACAAGAAGCCAAAGGTAAACTTGTATATATAGCCTAATCAGCTTTAAAAATTACCTTTTGTTCAGAATTCTGAACGAGAACAGGGAAAACCTCCTCCCAATTGTGTAATTGCTCTCCTTTAGCATTTTCTTCTTGAATATTCTTTCATTCAGCTATTCCTTCCAACATTTGCCAATTACAATGTGCCTATCATTCTGATAGGGTCTGTAGAGGAAATAAAATAGAGGAAACACATCTTTACTCTCACAAGATGTTCAATTTAGTTGGAGAAATAAGACATGTACATACATCCCTGCAACACACTACAATTACAATCAGTAAATGGAGGTTTAAGGCTAAGAAAGAGAAATTTTGGCCTCAATTCTTGGGTGGCATTTGGGGTAGAGGTTGTGAAAAGACGTGTCTGAGATGAAAAAAGAGAAAGAATATGCCCGAAAATGAGAAAACTACGGGACAGAGAGGAAAGAATAGAAAGCATGACCAGTTTTGTTGAAATCAAGGACCATTTAGGGGAGTAGAGAGATACCAAACTGGAAAGATAGAAGGGGCCAGACTGGAGCATTTTTTTTTTAAAGATTGTATTTATTTATTTGAGAGAGAGAGAATGAGAGAGAGAGAATGAGAGAGAGAGAATGAGAGAGAGAGAGAGCATGAGGAGGGGGAGGGTCAGAGGGCGAAGCAGACTCCTCGCTGAGCAAGGAGCCCGATGCGGGACTCAATCCCAGGACTCCAGGATCATGACCTGAGCCGAAGGCAGTCGCTTAACCAACTGAGCCACCCAGGCGCCCTGAGAGTGGAGCATTTTTAATACCCGCCAGAGAAGGCACTAAATACCAGCTGGGAAGGTAACAAGGAACCACTAAAAGCTCTAACAGAGAGGTAACATAAAAATTTTTAGGAAGGTGTTAATCTGGTGGTGATGTGCAGATTCCTAGAAGAGGCAAAAACAAGAAACTAGAAACCGGGAGGGTATCACAAGAATCAGAGCATGAAGCAAGGGGGCCAAGTTAGGATCATGGCAGTGGGAATGGAAAAGTGGGGTTCAAAGGAAGAGCCACTAAAGAAGAATTGACAGGATGTGCTCAAGCAAATGGATGAAGATGGCAAGAGAGATGAACTTGAAGATGACTCCATTCTAAGCCTGGGTGATGGAAAATGACTATGCAACCAACAAAAATAAAAATAGTAAAGATAGAGAAATGCTGGTATGGATAGAAGGAATGTAGAGGTAAAGTAAAAGGCGAAAGATTTATGCGATCTGAAGAGAAACCAGAGTATTGTAGAGGTAAAGTAAAAACACTAAGTGTAACCTTAATCACATGGAGTTTATAGTGTGACTAGTATGTCCATAGTCACTTGGTAGGAAATACGGGACTACAATTCAGGGTACAAGTTATGGCCCTGTGATTGTAACTTAGGAGCGAGGAGGAGGGTCATTCCACAGGCTCACAGAAGCCTACGGAAGCAGACACGAGAGTAGAGGAGTAAGAAGTACAGAAAAGAGAGTTCGAGATAGAAATTTGTGAAGTGTCTCCCCTTGCAGGCGTACCTACCTCTCATATGTTTGGGGAAGGGAGTACGTGCAATGTGGTTGGCCCTCCATTATCATATTCTCCCCTCAGCCCCTCTCAGTACTACCTTGGGGTGCTTATACTGCTCTTCATCACTTGGACCTCTGTGTTTCCTGTTCTTCCTCCATAATTACACCTAGATGTGGTGGTGATGGTGCAGAGATGTCAGCATGTCTCCTTTCTGGGGTATCCTTTATTTATCCATAAAACCACTCAAACAAGGCTCTCTACAATAACTATAGGAAATGATAATGAAGGAAAAAAGAAAACTTAAATCTGTATACTAAATGGATTATTATATCCCAGAATCCTAGAGAAAAGGAAAAATCTTACCCCTTTCATAGGGTACACTTGACTTCCTAGTCTTATTTTCATGACTTGAAACCTACCCTTCTATTTCTCTCCTTAAACAAAAGCCTATTTTACTTTTCTTTTTCTTCTGAGAATCCGCTCAGGCCAGGATAGAGGTGTGAGATTCTCTCACTGGACTATATCCTTGTTCCATGATGTCTCACAATCCAGGGAACACAGAAAGCTACTAGGGCATTTTCCAGAGTGTGAGCTAGTCAATTTAGGATGACAACACAGGTGGCTTCAGGAGAACAGTCCACAGAGGGCTTTCCCACTCCAAGTTCAGTCCCTGTTCAAGCATCTTCATGGTGGGAGGTGAGGATAGTTCTCTAAATTGTCCTATAGATAACATGAAAGCACAACCTCACATGCCTTTTTCAAGGACAAACAATAATTCTCAGAGAAAATGTAGTCTAAACACACATTAAGGAAGAGAAACATTTTCCTAAAGGCAATATAACCTGCAAAAATTTCCCCAGTTTATCACTGAAATAGCTTTTTACATTGCAAAGCAAAATAATTTTTTCCCATTTTTACTCTCCTACTCTAGGACATGCCTAAGGCCCACCTGTGAAAAACTTGGCTTTCTAACAATAGAACCATTTATCTGCCCCAGAGACCTTGCAGAATCTCTGAAATTATATTTGTCTTATAAGGAATGTGAGAAAAGCAGCCAGCTATAGTGGCAGAGGCATAATAGTCAGAAATGTAAAAGAATAAGGAAAACAGAATTACAATTTAGGCCAAGGGAAAAAGATTTAGGGAGAAGTAGGCCATAGTTTCATGTGCTCCAAAGAAACCAACATAGAAGAAAATGACAAAAAGTAATTGTCAACCTAGATGTCATTGATGATCATCTATAAAGGAGTTTCAAGAGAATGGTATGGGGGTGGAGTAAAAACCACAGGAGTTTTCTCTTCAGGAAATGATATCCATGTAAAGAATGGAAAAGAGGACATGACAGCTTAAGACAGTAGAAGATTCGGGGTGAGGTTGTATTTAGGTGAGGAATACCTAGAAATGGTTATAAGCAGACAGGAGACATTGAAGACAGCCTTGTCTCTAGTTGATGAAGCAAGGTGAGGTGGAAATTGTGAGAGACAGGAGGTAGAAAGCTGAAGCTATGTTGACAAGAGTTGACTGACTTTATTTTGAGAAAGAACGGAAGTAGACAAAAATATAGAAAGATACAGAAACAAATAAATAATCGAATAATTTTTTAAAAAGTATTGAAGTAGAGTGGAAGGCACTGAGAAAGATTTGCTTCCTCAATTGAACAAAAAGCCAAACCATCTGTTGGGACTGAAGAACTGAAGTTGGCTCGGAAGTTGGAAGGTTGTGGCAGAGAACTAATGGCTCCTATGTGGAACTTGAAAGGAAGCAACAAAAAGAGTAGAATAAAAAACCACCAGACTTCCTTTCCAGATAATTTAGACCAAATTTCACGAGTATATTAGAAAAGCTAAAAAAATGTAAAAAGCAACTACTTGATGATAATAAAAAGCAGTAAAAATTACCCTGCTAGCCTCAGGAGATAATCCAGAGAGGTAAGCTTGATATTTGAATTCTTTTCCCCTTGAGGATGTTTGCTAATTCCTGCAAAGGCATCTGAACTGTATTTTTGGCAGCCTTAGGGGGTTAGAAGGATAAAAGTAGGATCCCAGAGCCCATGAAGATTAGGAGGGAGAAGGATCCCTAATGAATTTCCTGTGCTGTAAGTTGAGTCTCCACCGGATCATAACCTGGGAAAACTAGAAGCACACTAAGACCAGCAAAAATTGCAGCCCAGCTTCATCCTGGATTGCTATGTCTTCCTAGGAACCTGCTGGAAGCAAGTATTATCTTCTATGGGAAAAAAATAATGTTATTGTAGGCCTCAAAATTTTTCCACAAACAAGTATTCAAATATTGTGTCTAGCACACAATTAAAATAACCAGACATACCAAGTATCGATTAATAATTAATGATTAAACAAAATGTTTACTATTTTGGAATATTATTTAACCTTAAAAAGGAAGGAAATTCTGACACATGCTATAACATGGATGAAACTTGAGAACATTACAGTAAGTAAAATAAACCAATCACAAAAAGAGAAATACTATATGATTCTACTTACATGAAGTACCTGGAGTAGTCAAATTCATAGAGACAGAAAGTAGAATGGCAGTTGCCAGGAGCTGACAGGACAGGGGAAATAGAAATTTGTTGCTTAATGGGTATAGAGTTACAGTTTTGCAAGATGTAAAGAGTTCTAGAGATGGATGGTGGTAATAGTTGCACAACAATATGAATGTATTTAATACTACTGACTGTACACTTAAAAATGATTAAGATAGTAAATTTTTTGTTAGTGTATTTTACTACAATAAAAAATTTAGAAAAGCGAAGAAATGTATAAATCAAAAAAATGAGGGGGAAATTAAGACATTCTCAGATAATCAAAAGCTATGAGTTTGTTGCTGCCTAGACCTGTCCTGTAAGAAATGCTAAAGGGTGTCCTTCTGGCTGAATTGAAAAAGAAACTAGACAGTTACTTGAAGCTGTAAGAAGAAATAAAGATCTCTTATGGTAGGTAACTACATTTTTTACAAACTACATTTGTTTTTTACAAACTACATTACAAACAAACTACATTTGTTTAAAACCTGGTTTAAAGGACAAATTCATAAAAAAACATTATTGACCATAAAACATGTAAAGATTTAATCTGTGACTTCTAATAACAGAAAGAGGAAAGGGAGCTACATGCAAGTTTTGTGTGCTATTGAATATAAATTCGTATATTCAACTCAAATTAGAGTGTTATAACCTTAGGCTGTTAAATGTAATCCCTATGGTAACCACAAAGAAAACAGCTATAGAATATACACATAAGGAAATGAGAAGGGAACTCACTACAAAAATCAACTGAACACAAAAGAAGGCAGTAATAGAGGAAGTGAGGGATAAAAAAAGGTATAAGGCATATAGAAAACAAATAGCAAAATGACAAAACTAAGTGAGGCCCCCCTTATCTGTAATTACTTTAAATGTAAATGGAGTAAATTCTCCAATCAAAAGATAAAAATTTGCGGAGTGGATTTTTTAAAAACGATTCAATTATATACTATCTATAAAGACTCACTTTAGATCCAAAGATACAAATAGATTGAAAGCAAAAGCACTGAAAAAGATATTCCATGCAAATAGTAACCAAAAGAGAACTGGGGTAGCTACATTAACAGACAAAATAGATATTATTTAATTAATTAATTTATTTATTTAAGATTTTATTTATTTATTTGACAGAGAGAGACACAGTGAGAGAGGGAACACAAGCAGGGGGAGTGGGAGAGGGAGAAGCAGGCTTCCCGCTGAGCAGGGAGCCCAATGCGGGGCTCGATCCCAGGACCCTGGGATCATGACCTGAGCCGAAGGTAGACACTTAATGACTGAGCCACCCAGGCGCCCCACAAAATAGATTTTAAATCCAAAAGGTTACAAGAGACAAAGAAAGACATTATATATTAATAAAAGTTTTAATACAGCAAGAGAATATAACAATTACAAACATATACATATAAATATATGAGGCAAAAATGGACAGAATTTAAGGGAGAAATAGACAGTTTTACAATCATAGTTGGAGACCTGAATGCCCTACTTTAAATCATGGATTGAAGAACTAGACAGAAGATAAGTAAGGATATAGAGTACTTGGACAACACAATAAACCATCTAGACCTAACAGACATACAGAATATTATTATTTCCTTCTCTCTATTCTGTAACAACAGCAGAAAACATAATCTTCTTAAGAACACATGTTATATGCAAACAATGAATCATGGAACACTACATCAAAATAAATAAATAGAAACAAACAAAAACAACAACAAAAAGAAAATAAACATTTGCAAAGGCAAAAAAAAAAAAAGAAGAACACATGAGACATTCTCTAGGATAGACCATATGTTAGGCTACAAACAAGTCTCAGTAGATTTTATTTTTTTAATTTTATTATGTTATGTTAGTCACCATACAATACATCATTAGTTTTTGATGTGGTGATCCATGATCCATTGTTTTCATATAACACTCAGTGCTCCATGCAGTACGTGCCCTCCTTAATACCCATCACCGGGCTAACCAATCCCCCCTCCCCTCTAAAACCCTGTTTGTTTCTCAGAGTCCATAGTCTTTCATGGTTCATCTCTCCCTCCAATTTCCCCCCCTTCATTTTTCCCTTCCTTCTCCTAATGTCCTCCATGCTATTCCTTATGGTCCACAAATAAGTGAAACCATATGATAATTGACTCTCTGCTTGACTTATTTCACTTAGCATAATCTCCTCCAGTCCCATCCATGTTGACGTAAAAGTTGGATATTCATCCTTTCTGATGGCTGAGTAATATTCCATTGTATATATGGACCACATCTTCTTTATCCATTCATCTGTTGAAGGGCATCTCGGCTCTTTCCACAGTTTGGCTATTGTGGACATTGCTGCTATGAACATTGGGGTGCATATGGCCCTTCTTTTCACTACATCTGTGTCTTTGGGGTAAATACCTAGTAGTGCAATTGCTGGGTCATAGGGTAGCTCTATTTTTAAATTTTTGAGGAACCTCCACACTGTTTTCCAAAGTGGTTGTACCAACTTGCATTCCCACCAACAGTGTAAGAGGGTTCCCCTTTCTCCACAACCTCTCCAACATTTGTTGTTTCTTTCCCTGTCAGTAGATTTTAAAAGATAGATATCATACAAAGTATCTTTTCCAGCCACAAAGGGATGAAGATAGAAATCAGTAACAGAAGTAAAATGAAAATTCATAAATATGTGGAAACTAAGCAACATTCTTAAACAACCAGTGGGCCAAAGAAGCAATCACAAGGGAAATTAGAAAATTTATTTAGAGACAAATGGAAATGAAAATAAAATATCCCAAAACTTATGGGATGCAGCAAAAAGAGTGCTCAGAAGGAAATTTATAGCAGTAAATGACTACACTTTAAAAAAAAAAAGAGAGAAAGAGAAAGATTTCAAATCAATGCCTTAACTCTGAACTTTCAGGAACTAGAAAAATAAGAGAAAAATAGGGGCGCCTGGGTGGCTTGGTTGGTTAAGCGTCTGCCTTTGGCTCAGGTCATGATCCCAGGGTCCTGGGATTGAGCCCCGCGTCAAGCTCCCTGCTCAGCGGAGAGCCTGCTTCTCCCTCTCCCTCTGCCTGCCACTCTGCCTATCTGTGCTCTCTCTCTCTGTCTCTGTCAAATAAATAAATAAAATCTTAAAAAAAAAAAAGAAGAGAAAAATAAACCCAAGCTAATAGAAAGAAATAGTAAAAATTAGGGCAGAGATAAACAAAATACAGAATTAAAAAGCAAAAGTGCAATGCCATCTCTACCATAACCCCAATGGTATTTTTTGCAGAAATGGAAAAGCTGATTCTAAATCCATATGGAGTTGCAAGAGCTCTGAGTAGCCAAAACAACCTTGAAAGAGAACAAAGTTGGGCGACTCATACTTCCTAATATCAAAATGTACTACAAAGCTATGATAATCAAAACAGTGTGGTTGGTACTGGCAGGACAGACATAGACCAATAGAATAGAATTGAAAATACAGAAATAAAACCTCTTATTTTGGTCCTTGATATTCAACAAGGATCATTCAGTGGGAGAAAAATGTAGTTTTTCCAACAAATGGTGCCAGGAAGACTGAATATCCACATGCAAAAGAATCAGTTGGAACCATTCTTCAGACTATATACAAAAATTAATTCAAAATGGATCAAAGACCTAAATTTAAGAGCTAAAACCATTAAACTCTTAAAAATAAACTAGGAATAAATCTTCCTTGGATTTGGCAATGGTTTCTTAAATATGACACCAAAGGCACAGGCAGGGGTGCCTGGCTGGCTAAGTCAGTAGAGCACGTGACTCTTGATCTCAGCATCTTGAGTTCAAGCCCCACCTTGGGTGTGGAGCCTACTTAAAAACAAAAAAAACAAAAGCACAGCAACAAAAGAAAAAAAACAGATGAAGTGGACATCATAAAAATTAAAAACTTTTGCGCATCAAAGAACACTATTAATAATGAAAGATAAGCAATGGAATGGTAATATTTGCAAAGTATATATGTGAAAAGGGCTTAATATCCAGAATATATAAATAACTCCTACAACTCGAAAACAAAAACCAATCAACCCATTTTTAAAATGGGCAAAAAAGGGACACTTGGGTGGCTCAGTCAGTTAAGCATCCAACTCTTGATTTTGGCTCAGGTCATGATTTCAAGGTTGTCAGATGGAGCCCTGAGTCAGGCTCTGTGCCCAGCATGGAGTCTGCTTGTCCCTCTCCCTCTGCTCCTCCCCCTTCTCCCCCTGCTTGCACTCTCTCTCTCTCAAATAAATAAATAAAATCTTTAAACAAATAATAAAATGGGCAAAAAAGATACACAAATGACCAATGAACACATGGAAAGATGTTCAACATCATTAGTCATTAGGGAAATGCAAATCAAACTCACAATGAGATACCACTTCACACCTACCAGAATGGCTATAATAAAAAACAAACAAACAAAACCAGAAAATAACAGGTGTTGACAAAGATGTGGGAGGATTATAACCCTTGTACACTACTGGTGGGGATATAAAATCGTGCAGCAGCTCCGGAAGACAATTTGGTGATTCCTCAGAAAGTTAAATGTAGAATTACCATATGACCTACCACATAATTCCACTCCTATATATACCCCAAAGAATTGAAAAAAGGGACTCAGGTACTTGTTCATTAATGTTTATAGCAGCATTATTGATATTAGCCAAAAAGTGAAAAAAACCCAAGTGTCCTTCAACAAATGAATGGATGTTTTATATTCAGGGTTCTCTAGAGAAACAATAGGAGATAATAGATGACAAACAGATAGATGGATATAGAGATACACAAATATAAAGGGATTTATTATAAGGTATTGGCTCCCATGATTATGGAGGCTGAGAAGTCCTATGGTCTACTATCTGCAAAGCTAAAGACCCAGGAAAGCTGGTGGTGTAGTTCAAATACCTAAGAGCTGGAGAGCCAATGGTATAGACTACAGTCCAAGTCTGAAAGCCTGAGAATCAGGAGTGCTAAGGAAGGAGACCAATATCCCAGCTTAATCAGTCAAGTGGAGAGCAAATTCAACTTTCAATTGGCCTTCTGTTCTACTTTGGCTCTCAACAGATTGGATGATGCCCACCTACACTGGGGAGCGCCATCTGCTTTACTCAGTCCATCTATTCAAATTTCTATTTGGAGTGATGAAAACAAATGGAACCAGATAGTGGTGATGGTGTATATGTAATTAATGATACTGAATTCATACACTTAAAAAATATAAAAATGTACCCAAAAAATGGCAAATTTTATGTTATATATATTTTAGTCTAATAAAAAATTGGTTTAACATAGTTGATTACATTCACAGTAAAGAAAAACCATACAATTGCTTCAATAGATGTAGAAAAATCATGATAAAATTCAAAACCCATTCATGAAAATACTTTTTTAGAAACCTAGAAATAGAAGAGAACTTCCTAAATCTGTAAAAGGGTATTGTGCCAGTTATCAATTTTTTGCCTCTCAGCTCCAAAATCACCCTTCAGTACCTGCTCTGTGATGGACTGAATTCTTGAAGCACTTTTCCTTCACAGCAAGTACGGGGAACTTTCCCGAAAGAGGGTGCTGGAGTGACACTGCAAAGAGAAAGATGGTTTATCTCCCTGACTCCAGAGTACAGTGTTTTGCTTTTTCTTGCTTCTGTTGCACAGAAGTATAAGTGTGTGGTATAAGTGTGTGGACACATTTGGGGGTACTCTACTCCAGTTGTGTGCTCAGAGCATGTAGTCCTCAGCAATCTTGCAGCCTCAGCCCAGGTCCAGTAACGGCCTTCCCATGGCCTTTCCAAATCCTGGTCTCATAAACATAGTGGAAACCTAACTCTTTTACACCAGCCTTGAATGGCCTGAGTCCTAAAGGGTTGTTTATGTTTGTCTCTCAACTATTGCCCTGTGCAAGCCTGAGCAACCTAGAAAACTTCTCCACCAACCAGAGTGTTGCAACCACATGATTTACAATGAGGGCTGTACTGTAGCCTTGGGAAGGGAGCTTCATTTCCAGATTTGTACGTCCTCGGATACTCTCCTTCAGCTCTTGGTGTCCTTTAACATTATCTCTACATCTTCATACTTACCCTTCTATCATGGTTTCATAATTCTTTGTATTGAGCTTTCTCTGTTAAAATTACTGGGTTGGCTTCTCATTGGGACTGATTGGTTTGCAGACTGCTACAAGTACTTAAAAATACCTGTGGTAAACATCATACTTAATGGTTAATGCTGTAAGTTTTCCCTTTGAGATCAAGAACAAGAATGCATACTATCACCATTTCTATGCCACACTGTACTAGACACTGTAATACGACAAGAAAAAAAATGGCATATGGATTGGAAAGGAAGAAAGGAAATTTTCATTATTCACAGATTATAATGATAATATACATTTAAAAGTCCAAAATGATCTATTCAATTATTAGAATATATGTAATTAGCAAGATTACTGGATGCAAAGTCAACATACAAAAATCTATATTTATATCATTTGTATAATGATATAATTATATGTATAATTATTAACATAATTGTATTTGTAATATAATTATAAATATAATAATATAATTATAAGAAAAAGAAACTTTAAAAATACCATTAATAAAAATATAAAAATATTAAATACTTAACAATAAATGTAACAAAAGATGTGCAAAAACTGTAAGACATTATTGTGAAAAATTGAAGCCATCTTAAAAAATGGATAGATATACAAGTTCATGAAATCATAGACTCAATATTGTGAAGATGACAATTTCCCCAAAACTGATGTATAGATTCAAGACAATTATAATTGAAACTCTTATAAGTTTTTTGTTGTTGTTTGTATAGTAAACTGACAAACTTATTTTTAACATTTATATGGAAATGAAAAATTGATAAAGAGCCAAGACACTTTTGAAGAAGAAAAACAAGAAAGGAAGACTTGCTCTATCAAATATCCAGATTTATTATAAAGGTAAAATAATTAAAATAGTATGACACTGGCATAAACATAGAGATGAATAGAACAGAATAGAGTCCCAAGCCAGAGTCATGCATACACAAACATGAAAAGTTTGTCACTGCAGAGAGTGGGACCATAGTATTTTAAATAAATTGTGCTGGGAAAACTGGATACCCATGTGATAAAAAAAAGAAACATGGTCCCCATCTGACTCCATATAAAAACCAATTTCAGATAAATTAGAGATTTAAATATGAAAGCCAAACAATAATAAAAATAATATTTAATAATAATAAAAAACCTATAAAAACATAGGAAAATAGCTTCATGACTTCAAGATAGAGGCACATTTCTTTTTTTTTTAAAGATTTATTTATTTATTTGACAGAGGGAGACACAGGGAGAGAGGGAACACAAGCAGGGGGAGTGGGATAGGGAGAAGCAGGCTTCCCGCTGAGCAGGGAGCCCAATGCGAGGCTTGATCCCAGGACTCTGGGATCACGACCTGAGCCTAAGACAGATGCTTAATGACTGAGCCACCCAGGCGCCCCTAGGGGCACATTTCTTAGACAGCTGTAAAAAGCACTAACCAAAGGAAAAGATTAATGAACAGGGCTACATTAAAATAAGAACTTCTGTATATCAAAAGATGCTGTTCAACCGGTTTGTACCCAAAAGGACTCCTCCAAACCCAAAACAAAAGATAAACAACTCAATGGACAAATGAGAAAAGAAACAAGGATAAGCACTTAACAAAAGATAATATCCAAGGTCCCAAAACATAGGAAATGGAGCTCTACTTCATTAATAATTAGAGAAATGAAAATTAAAACTACAATGAGATACCATTACATTGACAACACCAAATATAAGTGTGGATATGGAACACTGGAACCCTCATCACTGCTGGGGATGGGGGATGTGTGTAAATTCCAATAACAAAATTGGGAGCTAGTCAGTCTTGTCTCTCATATTCCATGACTCAGAATTCACTCCTAGGTGGAATTTCTAACAAAAATACCTGCACATGGGCACCAAAAGACATGCACAGGAATGTCTACAGTAGCACTGCTCAAAGTAACTCCAAACTGGACAACCCAAGTATCCAACAATTGCAGAAGGGATAAAGAAATTATGTAGGGAGGGTGGGGCACAATGAGTGAAGGGTATCATAAACTACAAACTTTCAGTTATAAAATAAGTAAGTTGGGGCACCTGGGTGGCTCCATCTGTTAAGCATCTGACTTGATTTTGAGTCAAGGCTCTATGCTCAGCGGGGAGTCTGCTTAGGGTTCTCTCTCTCTCTCTCACTCTCCCTCTGTCCCTCCTGCCACCCCCCCACACACGCTCTCTCTCTCTCTAAAATAAAGAAATAAATCTTTAAAAAAATAAAAATAAAATAAATAAAAAATAAAATAAGTCATGGGGATGTAATGTACAGCATGCTAACTATAATAATACTGTATTACATATTTGAAAGTTGCCAAGAGAGCAAATCTTAAAAGTCCTCATCAGAAGAAAAAAAAAGAAAAAAAAATTTTTGTAGCTGTGTATGGTGATGTATGTCAACTAGAGTTGTGGTAATCCTTTCACAATGTATTCAAATATCAAATCATTATGTTGAATATCTGAAACTAACACAATATTATATGTCAATTAGTCAATTACACCTTAATAAAAAATAATAAAATTATGGTATATTTATATAATGAAATAATATACAACATTGAAAATGAATGCACTATAGCTTCATGCAATGACATGAATTTCATAAACATAATAATAAGTCAAAGAAGCCAAACACTATATGCCAATTCCATCTATATGAAGTTCAGAAAATGAGCAAAACTAAATTATAGTGTTTATTAGTACATGTTTACATGGTAAAAGTATAAAGAAAGGCTAGGAAATTATTACTATGACCTTTAGGATAGTGCTTACTTTAGAAAAAGATAAAGTACGAGTGATCAGGAGGGGGCGTGATGAGGACTTCAGTGGTGTTGAAACATTCTAGTTTTTGACCCAGGTGGCGATCACTTGGAGGTTAACTCTGAGAATTCATCGAGCTGTATATTTTTTTGTGAATGTCTGTAATATTTCATGTTTTAAAGGGTTAAAAGAGGAGCACCTGGGTGGCTCAGTCAGTTGAGCGTCCGACTCTTGGTTTTGGCTCGGGTCCTGATCTCAGGGTTTTGGGATGGAGCCCTGTGTCCGGCTTCACGCTCAGCAGGGAGTCTGCTTCAGGATTCTCCCTCCCTCTACCCCTCCATTCCCCACCCCCACTCTTGCATGTGTTCTCTCTCTCAAATAAATAAATAAATCTTAAAAATTTTTTTAAAGGGTTAAAAGAATAGACGACTGCCTGGCAGCACTGAGGACCCAGTAGACAAAGCACATTTTAGTAAGTCCTAAATGTTGTGACTTCTCTTGCAGTGTGTAGGAGCCCGGGAGTAAGAGATGCGGAGGAGGATGGCAATGACCCAGGATGGGGACTGGTTTGTCAGGACTCTGGAAGCCTGGCAGGGAGGGGGTGGGGAGAGGAAACCACACATCCTTGAAATTGCAGTCCCTGAAGCAGACATTCAGGCAGACATAAACTCAATTAGTCAAACACCCTAGGAGAATAGAAGGCGAAAAGACCAAAGATCACAGTGAGGGAGAAGAGTAAGTTCATAGATGTGAGAGTCTGGAAGAAGCAAAGGGTATTAGACACAGGAGAGCTTCAGTGAACACTGCAGTAAAATGTAGTGTATATTGATACCATGTACACAGAAACAAGGATCTTTTAGCGTAGCATTCATTCATTCATTCATTCAAGTCTTTATTGAGTCTCAGGAACTATTCTAGGTGCCATAGAGAATACAAGAAGTTAGACAGTTTTCTTTAGTTTTAACTAAGATAAGACACACCCTCATGAACATTGAAGTTATAGGTCAAGATTCCACTGCTGGAGGGATAAAGCCCCAACTCCCCCCCACACAAAGCATACAAGCTCCACCCCAGTTTGGCCCCTTGCCAGTGGCATATTCCCATGGGTGTCTGCTCTTCCCCAGAGCAGCTCATTTTCACTGATCCTGTGACCATATGCAGGCACAGTTCTATGCACTTTATTCATTCTCACAATGACTTTAAGAGGTTGTCGGTACCATTATTATCCACACTGTCCAGGTGAGGTAACAAGCCCAGAGAGGTGAAGTAACTTGTTCATGTTCACAAAAGCTTATAGGTACTGGGGCCAGGATTCCAGGTCTGGCTCCAGAGCGTGTGCTCTCCACAAATACAACTGGGCCACAGTCGTCTTTCTCTGGCCCTGCACAAGTCCAAACTCTTTCATGCCTCTGTAGCTTTGGATTTTCTCCCTGTTGTCTTCCCCACAAACCCAGCGAGAAGGCTGCCATCACTGTGCAGTCTTCCATGGCCACTTCCTCAGGGTCAATCTCTACCTTCCTCCTCTATGGCCTCATCTTTCATGGGCCTCTCCTAACTCCTAGCACGTCCCTACATGTCCTCAAGGGCAGGAACTTTGATTTGTTTGTCAATAGGTCTTCTCTAGAATCTGTCACACATGAGATCACAGGCAATGCTGAATTGGATCCAAAGAAAAATATAAATCCTAAATAAGTGGAGTCAATACTGAGAGTCATAAAAGTTAGAAGAAAGAGAGGCCCGTGTAGTCTGAGGCAGCCTGGGGAAGTCTTCTGAAGGGAGTAGCCCCTGGCTAGACTGTAAGGGATGAGCAAAACCTGTACCACTGAGGATGATCAAGAGGGTGACCAGGGTGGGAAAGAGTGTGTGCACAGGCCTAGAGACTCCAGTGCACAAGGTGTCTTCAGACTTTAAACCAAACTTGCCAGAGCACAGGCTGCAGGCAAAACAACCAGGGATCAAGAGGCAAGATATTAAACTCCCAATACAAATACCTACCCCAAGATCTTAAGTTCTTCCTAAGTAAATCCAGAAAACCAGAATCCTTCTGAGTACAAGAGACCTGGAGAAAAAAAAAAAAAGATTAATCAGATTTAGAATTTTTTTATACTTTCTATTGGATAATATGAATATGGTACACAATTAACTGCTCTGAATCTGGCACTGTTTTAAATAAATCGGTATCAGCATATAGAGATTTCACTGCATTTTCTTTGCAACCAGGCCGTCTGAGTTGCTGCCATCAATCAAGGCCTGGCCTGAGATCTAAAAGGTGCCCATGTGATACCCATCATGCCAACAGCAAGCTCCTCCCCAAGCTTCTCATAGTTGTGGTACAAACAGTCCTGCCATGTGCAGGCTCCTGCCAAGAAAGGTTGGCACTGACCATGCATAAGGGATATTTCTTGAGGGGGGCATAGGGTGGATTTCTATGTGGCCTCTTTTTGGGAGGGCCTGGAAAGTATATGCCACCAGGTTTGGGTTACTGATGGAATGTCTTTGCAAACCAGACTGAATGGACTAGGAGGGTTGAGCTCTACTATCCAGATGGTACCTCCTGTCCTGTCTAGTCTTTTTTGCTCTTATTATCACCTTTCTTCTAGATGAATGAGAGGAACATAAGGAATATATAAATATTATTTTCAACAGATGTCTAAAAAAGAAAAACTCATTATTTTTCATAAGACCCCAGACCCATAGGAACTTCCTTGAGGTATGTGAGAGAGGCCCACCTGCCTGTTTATCACTAAAAGAGAATCAAATATAGGTAGTAGGGTTGTCATCATGTGAGAAAATCTTTCCTTTACTTCTACGTATTTGCCTTAGATTCTTTGCAAATAAAAATAACACATTTCATCGGCACTACTAAATCTACAAATTACCTTAATGACCTTGATCTCATTTAAACTCATTTTGCAAATGGGCAAACATTGTTCCATGAGTTTTACTGATAGCCTACGATTGCAAAGTTACTAAGTAATAGTGCCTGGCCCAAGTCTAGGACTTCAGGGTCCAACTCTGTCCCACTTCATAGCAAACACATTATAACATATTTTCACACATATTTTCAGAACATATAAATTTTTGCTGTATAATTTTTATAATTCCAATTTGGAGTTTTGTTATAACTTATAAATGTTTTCTCTTGATTCAAACTTACATTTTTATGTAATTGTATAGGGCTTGAGTTGAGTAGCAGCTGACTCATTGATATCATGTTACATTTTGCAGACTCTTAAATATTTATTTCAATTTCAATGTTTTATCCTCATGTTTAGGAGCCAATACATTTTTTTTTCAGATCTGAAATATTGTCATGGGTCCTTGAAAGGTCATGGGTCCCGAGCAACAAGCCAAGAATGCTTCATGGCAGAAAGAGCCCTGTTCTGACTGCTGTACCACTCAGCCCCTAGCACAGGGGTGTGATGTGAGCAGAAGCTTAGAAGCTGGAATATAGAGGGCAGGTAAAAGTGGCTGTCACAGATTCAGCTGGCTGGAGCAGAAAGCACAGGATCCAGTCCATCTCTGACCTTCTAGCTAGCTCCATGGAACTTCTCTGGGATAATCTGCTGCCTGAACTCTGAAACAGGCTGTGTCCTTATGTTAAACCATTCTATTAATCCACGGAGTTAAGCAGCATCTAGAAAAACTTCAATGAGCAAAGGAAGAGTTTATTCTATATGTTAGTAGAGCTCTTCCTAAAACCAATCTCACAGGATTCAGGGATACTGGTCTTGACTGACCTCATCACCAAAAACTCCCAACCCCAGGGAGAGCTGGGATTGGAGAGGAACTCAAGAGAGAGCAGAGGGAGCCCCTCCTTTTGTTGCCATGGGGACATGCAGAATCCTTCCACCAACCAAGCCTGGGATTATAGCCATTCCTACTGAACCTCCCGCTGGGTGGCCTTGCTTTGGAGGCAACATATTCCCAATAATTCTGAGTAAGTTGTTTTTGTAAAATGCATTTTAAATGCACAAGCCAGGGAAATCTAACTACTTAAAGGCATACTATCCCAGATCCTTTTAGAAAAAAAGAAAGAAATCTTCAATACTCTAAGCAGTCGCTCCCTAAATTCTCCTTTTGGGTGTCCATATTTTTGTGTTCTGCAGTTTTAATAAATTAGAACACATTAACGCAGTACTTGCTAATATTGCATCAGGAATGTAGAAAGAAAAATGAGTTGTTGTTTGTGCCATGCCACCTTTCTTCAGTATTTGAAACAAATTTGAAAATGTGGAGAACCCTGGGGATTCGGGAGAAACTCTTCACTCATCTATTCCTCTAGTTGCCATGAAGAACAACAGTTTTAAAGGCATCTTTAAATAAAGTCAGCCCTGAGCCGAAACCTCACTTCTTCAGTGAGGAAGAGTATTAAGGGGGCAAGAGACAAGTCTCTTTGCTGCTCTAAATAGCAAGTAATCTGAAGAAGACACAAGTGAACCTTGTGTTTATTCAGAAGAGACATTCATGTGGGAGATAAAAGTGGCTCTGGAGCAGTGCACCCACCAGAACTTTCCAGGGTCTCCGTTTCATGCTCAGAATCCCATTCCCGATCCTCAGAACTATGGGCTTCTGAGAGCTGGTTCTCTCTCCATGTTCACCAGGCTTCATTTACCAAATATTCTGCTTCTTTGTACCCAGTGGTCCTAGAATTAACAAGAACATGGTCTGCCCTTTCTCAGTGCTTATAAATAACTTCCTCTGACCCTTTTGTCCAACTTCTACCTCGCCACTTGCAAATTTCTCCTTGAAACTCTCATCCCCTGAGAGTCTCCTTTGTTCTGGTTACCTTAAGGAAGGTGGAGACTAGCCAATAATAATAATAATAATAATAATAATAATAATAATAATAATAAATGGACATTTATTATGCACCTATGAAACACTTAACATAGATTATCTCATTTTATCTCCTGGCAACCTTGAGATAGGTACTATTTTTACCCCAATTTAAAAGAGGGGGAAATAGTCTTAGGAAGTACAAGTGACTTGGTCACACAGTTGGCAAGTAGCAGAATAGGGGTTCAACCCAGACTGTCCAACTCCAGAGTATCCACTCATATTGTCTCTCCATCTAATCATTCATTCATTTAGCCAACCTCACTATATGCCAGGGTAGATAGCAATGATGAGGTAAAAGAGGTTTCTACCCTCATTATAATTCTTTGATTCTAGTAAGGGTAGACAGGCAAGAAATGAACAAATAAAACAGGTAATTTCTGAGATGGGGCTGTGGAGAAAATACTTCAATGAATGGAGCAGTGGTCTTCAAACTTGAGTGTGTATGAGCTCACCTGGGGGAGCTTGTTGAATCACAAATTGCTGGGCCACACTCAGAGTTTCTCATCCAGCAGGTCTGGAGTGGGGCCCGGGGAATTTGCATTCCTAACAAGCTCCCAGGTGAGGCTACTATTGCTGGTGTGGGACTACACTTGGAGAATCACTGGGATAGGGAATAACTGGGATTGGAGTGGGGAGTGGAAAAGGCTCTCTCAGGATGTGTGGCATTTGAGTTGAGACCTGAATGACGAAATGAGTAAGCCACCAGAAGATACAAAGAAGCAAAGGGTACCAAAAGGGCAAAGTCCTCAAGGTAGAAATGAACTCTGGGTATTGGAAGGACAAAACAAAGATCTGCTGGGTGTTGAATGAGGGAAAGAAGAGAGACAGACAAGGCCAGCTTAGACCCAACACAGTTATTTCTTTTCCTCTTGCTCCGGTAGATGATTTTTTTTTTTTAAAGATTTTATTTATTTATTCATGAGAGACAGAGAGAGAGAGAGACAGAGGCAGAAGGAGAAGCAGGTTCCCCGTGGAGCAGTGAGCCCTATGCGGGACTTGATCCCAGGACCCTGGGATCATGACCTGAGCCGAAGGCAGACGCTTAACCAACTGAGCCACCCAGGCATCCCTAGATGATGTTGTTTTAACATGAAAATTAGAATGTCTTTAACCAACAAATAGTGACAATTGGTTGACTTAAAAAATAAAGATCCAATATTAGATTACTTTAAATGGCACCTCCTGTGACACATTTAAAATATGACTTCAGTTGCTCTTCACTCCAATGCCATTTTCAATTGTAATTTTTCAAGCAAAAATAATCTATTGTGTTACACACAATGTACACTGTGTTGTATCTTATTTAATTATATATCTTTTATCTGGGCAATCTGTCAAATCTGCAAGTTGTTGCAAAAATTACAGACAGGATCCATGCCTTTTCTTTCCTCATTCTTCTACCTTAGTGCTTTTCAAATACAAATATGCCTAAAACTGAACCATATAACAGGCTCCCTGGAAGGGGAAATGTGTTAAGGAGACTGATCTAGGTATATCTCTTGTTCTTGCCAGAGTCCCTTGTCCACCCTGGTCCCTGTGGTGGAGGAGTGCCAAGCTGAGACAGTATGAGGTCTAGGCTTCTGTTGGATTCTCAGCCAGGGTAAGAATCTGTTGCAGGAAAATTGGCTCCTCTCTTTCTCTCAGCAGACACACTTGGGCCTGCTTTTGCAGCAAGGTCTTTACTATCTTCCTTTGCTTTGGATCTGTTCTGATGAAGCAGTGATGTTCTGCATGACTGATAAAGACAGCCTATTCATCTCATTTCTTAAAACACATAGGAGCAATCAAGCATTCTGAGTTTCCTAAACATTGTACAGTTGATGCCTGGAGCATCCAGAAATTGCTGTTGGTGGGTGTTATGGGGGAAATTATGTCCTCCAAAATTCATATGTTGAAGTCCTAACCCCTAGAATCTCAGAATGTGACTGTATTTAGATACAGGGTCTTTAAAGAGAGAATTAAGGCTAAATGAGGCCAGTGGGGTGGGCCCTATTCCAATATTCCCCTTCATAAGAAGGGGAGATTAGGAAACAGACTTCACAGACAGAGAGATGACCATCTGCAAGCCAAGGAGACTGGCCTCAGAAGAAACCAACCCGGCTGACATCTTGCTATTAGAGTTCTGATCTCAAGAACTATGAGGAAATAAATTGTTGTTTAAGCCACCCAGTCTGTGGTTCTTTGTTATGGTAGCCCTAGCACATTAATATAGTTGAGTGTTTGGATGGCAGCTGGCCCCATCTAAGCCACTAAGAATTTGGAGAGTCGGCTCTTCTGAGAACCACCACTATGTGTTTATAGAGATTCTTATAGAAACTTTGTTATACTTTTAATTCCATGCTTTAAAAATTCTTCCTCTCTATAAAAATTAAGAAAATCAGGTCCCTTGGGGTGCCTGGATGGCTCAGTTGGTAGAACATGTGATTCCTGATCTCAGGGTCATAAGTTCAAGTCCCACATCAGATGTGGAGCCTACTTAAGAAGAAGGAGGAGGAGGAGGAGCAGAGGAGGAGGGGGGAGGGGAAGGAGAAGGGGAAGAAGATTTGGAGGGGGGGAGGGATGAGGAAAGGGAGGAGGAGGGGGAGGAGGGGGAGAAAGAAGAAGAAGAAAACCAGGGCCCTCTTCTGAGCATATCTTGAAGATTTCAGTTCAGCAGGAAACCTGTGGGCCAGAGGTTAGAGGGAGGAAACAGTTCTTCTAGTCTTCCCCTCCCTGAGACAGTGGGGCTCTCCTGCCTTCTGCTACAACTTTTGGTGCCTGTCTAAGATAGCACTATCCTTTGACATCTGTTTTACTGACTCTGGTCTGGTCAGCAGACAGGGCGGGCATTTCTGGGTTGCTGCTTCTGCTGCACATTTGGCTGAAATATACCCTGACCCAGATTAGCCCACTTAGATAGTTTGGAAGAAAGGTTTGGGAAGTTCTGAGGAGTGCCTTTGCCTCTGAGGTTCAAGGAGTGTGGAGAATGAATAGCCCTTCTAATATGCCAACAATGACCAAGTGTTGAGTATCCACAAAAGGGGAGCCAGGGTATATAGGGAACACTAAAGTTAGTTCTAGAAGTCCTGCTATTGTCCTGTTCTAGAATAACTTCCTATCTGGATAAGATACTTTTGGTTTCAGGTGACAGAAAACGAACTCAAACTAGCTTAAAACAGAAAAAGGGAGGGTGTAGATTTGGGTCTGTTTAACTGGGATATTCAAAACCTGATGGTTTCAGGTACAGCTTGATCCTGGGCTCAAATTCTGTTATCAGTAAGTGTCTCTCTCTTGTTAACCTGAGACTCTGCTTTCCTGTGTTTGGATCTATTCTTAGGCAAGCAATCCTAGTGTGTTGGCAGAGATGTCTACACATTTATCAGCCTTAGAGGCAGTGATGCCAAAGAAAAGAACATCACTCTTTTCCCAGAGTTACAGCAAAATTCTAGGCAAAACCCCTGAATGGTCCAGCTTGGGTCACCTGTTAATTTCTAAACCAATCACTGTAGCCAGGATGGTAGAGTATTCTGGGTCATGTGCCCACCTCTGGGACTGAGATACGAGGTAGGGGGGTGGTGGTGGTTGGCCCCATGTGAGCCACTAAGAATTTGGAAAGTTGGTTCCTCAGAGAGGTGCCAGGAAGAAAAAAAGTAAACACATAAAATATTAATCTTGTATTACAGTAGGCTGGCTTATAAAAGATGCTCAAAACTGGCTGGCTTATATAAAGTGCTTAAATGACAAATTAATAAAAAGGAAAAGTACTGTGTCAAAAATTTGGAGGACGGTGGAAAAGAGAATGGAATGGAAAGAGGATGAAGTTCAAAATTATACATAGAAGTTATAAGAGAGGCAGATTTCAGCTCAATGCAAGGAAAAACCCTACTAGAAGTGAGGACAACAAAGGGAGATGCTTCACAAAGTGGTCATCTCCCCTTTCCTAGATGAGCTCTAGTGGGGATGAATGGCCATCCACCAGGGATGCAGAAAAGGGGGTTCTAAGTCATGTGGGTTGGATTGATCCCAAACCCACTAACCTCTAACCTCTAGAGTTCCGACGATTCCCAAACTCCTCTAACCTCACGCTCCTATGATTCCCAAACTACTTATTTCCACATTAGGAAACCCTGAAGCAGCAAAGAAAGTGCAGACCAGAGGGGGGCACAGTGGGCAGCTCTGAGCTTTTTTTTTTTAAGTTAACATTTACTGAAGCCTTACTGTGTGCCAAGTACAGTCGAGGTGCTTGCATCCCTTGTCCCACTTAATCCCCAGGATAACCCTTGAAATAAGTTTTAGTGACCCCCCCATTTAATGAATAAGGAAATTGGGGTATAGAGAGGTTGAGTAACTTGTCAAGAATGACACAGTAAATAGCAGAGCTGGGACCTGAATCCAGGCCACTTGTAATTTAAAGCAAAACTCTTAACCCCTTTGCTCTTGGGGGACAGGCAGGCTGGCTTCTTTCTAGGGTGTCATTGTACACCTCCCTCTGCTCACCTACCCCCTCTGCCTGCTCAGGATCAAGGTTGATCGGGTCCAGATGGTAGCAGGTACATCTAATGAGATATGAGGGTATTACTCACAAGAAGCCCGGAGTGGCTGGGAGAGAATCCCAGACTCACATTCCTGCACTTGAGATGTCAAGAGCAAATGTTATGGCCATGCATTAGAAACAAACACAACAACAAAGCCAGGGTTATCCTTGAACCCTTTCCAACTCCAGTCCATCCAACTGCTTCAGTCAATGCATGAGTTAGGTAAGCCAGGTAGGCCCCTGTAATGGCTCCTATCTTCCCTCTGGGTTTTTAGAACGAATAATTTAGTT